AGAGCTATGCCTGAGTCGTGTCTGTGAAAGAAGTGGTGGGGACCAAGTGCAGAGCCAGGAGCAGCACCAGGCAGGGGCGCTGCCTCAGGAAAGACACCGTGAGGGCAAGAGCCCAGGCAGGGGGAGAAGATGAGGATGGAGCTGCAAGTCGGGGAGTGCGCAGCATCACAGGAAACGGAGGCCGGCCACATCGCAGGAGGAGCGCCAGGCTAGAAGAGACTAAAACCCTCCCTCTGCAAAGTTCTTTCCTCTCTCCTTAGGGTGAGGGATCATGAGGATGACTGGACCACACGCCAGAAATAAAAAGGACACTTCTTCCTTGTAACCTGAGTCGTATGGTGGACGTATTTGCAACTCTTGTAATAAACTTACCACATGTATATACTTCTTTGATGTTTTAGTCCACTGTGATCGTGACACACATTTTTGTTCCTGATTTTTTTCGCTTAATATAGTACAAACACTAAAAAATTAAATTATAAACATTAAAAGATTAATGTTACCATAGCATTAATTTTTTTTTAAGACTGTGATTTTGAAGATGATCTAGTATCCCACCATATGAATGTTCCTTACTTTGGCTAACTGGAAGTGGGTGAGATAAAACTGTAAGCAAAACAGTTAACAAATAAAAATTACACATGACCCATAGATTGGGTGCAGTGGCTCACACCTGTAACCCCAGCACTTTGGGAGGCTGAGGTGGGTGGATCTCAAAGTCAGGAGTTCAGGACCAGCCTGGTCAAGATGGTGAATCCCCATCTCTACTAAAAATACAAAAATTAGCTAGGCATGGTGACGGGTGCCTGTAATCCCAGCTACTTGGAAGGCTGAGGCAGGAGAACTGCTTGAACCTGGAAGGCAGAGGCTGTAGTGAGCCGAGATCGTGCCACTGCACTCCAGCCTAGGCGACAGAACGAGACTCCGTCCCAAAACAAGCAAACAAAAAATACACAGGACCAATAAACATATGACCTGCTTTAATCTCACAAGTCATTACAGAAATGCACATTCTAATAATAATTAGATGCTTTTTTGTCTGCTTAGCAAGTTGGCAAAAATGTTTAAATGTGGTAATACTCAGTGTTGGCAGAGGTTGGGGAAGGCAAGCAGTCAAATGCACTGCCGGCCAAGGGTGTAAATTAGGATGACTTTTCTCCAGGCCATTTGGCAATATGTTCCTCAAACCTTTAAAAGACCGTTTGTATGTGGTGGAACTCAGGAACCCCTGAGTATGTGCTCAAGAAGAAATGCGTCCTGAATCATCCTCTGAATAACTAAGACCTGATTTACATTTCACATATATAAAATTCTTCTGTCTCCGTATCATAGCTGTTGGCATACACCATCTGCTAATTAAAAAATACTGACGGGGGAAAACAATGAAGGGCAAAAGATTCAGAGTCTGTCTGATAGATGCTGGGGGCATTCTCCATGCCACCTACAGGTGGAGCTGCCACTGAGATGCTTATGGCACCTAGAGGTTTCTCGGAACTGGAACCAGTCCTTCAGGTCTGACCCCAAAGCATGAATTTTAAAATTTGAGAGCTCCAACCACCACTGCCACCTGGTGACCCTGATCATAAACAGCACACTCGGAACCACCGGCTGCCCAGCAGCCTTGCCTGGATAAGAGGTAACATCGCTGGAATCAGATCACCCCGCTGCAGAGAAAGATCTACTGCGTGTGTGTCGGGAAGCCAGATGGTACAGAAGACACAGCTATGCTTGTTGGAACTCATTTTAATGTTCTCCCCCAAATGTAAGCCATATGCTAGAGGATTCCCTGGCTGGCTGGCATGAAGAACTGGGCACTTGAGACTCATAAATAACGTTAACAAATGCAAAAGAAGAGAAGGATGGAGAAGGTTTGATTGTGGTCCATTTGAATCATGAACGTAAATGTCACGGGAAAAAGAAATACCTGTGTGAACTTTTTACAAAACAAAACATTTTTGTTTTAAAATAGAGGTGTCATTTTAAACACTGGAACAGCCTGTCTTTCTCAAGAGTTGGCTTTTATGCTAGGTGAAGAATCTTGCTGTTTAAAAACCATAATGCATCTTCCACATCTCAGAAAATGGGAGTACGTACACAGTGGCTTTTAGAGGAAGAATTAATATGAAGGGCACATTCTTGGGCTAAAAACTCCCATTTTGTAAAAGCGAATTGGCCACAGTATTCAGAATGTATCTGAAAGGAGGTGAAGTCTGTGGACAGAGTTATAAAGAAAGCCTAACACGAAATGGAAATCAGCATGCACTTCCCCTGTGGTTCTGCTATTTCCTGATAGCTTTGCATCATTTTTATAAGCATTCATATAATGGCAGGATCAATTCAGTCTTACGCCCAGAGGTAGTTCACTGTACTTATATTCTCATGTGTGTTTATCTTAAAACTATACCCCCAGTGAAAACTTGAGTTCTTACTGGCTCAGGTAAGAGAGCACACTAGTGACCTGGAGAGGTTTTGTTTTTTGTTTTTTTCTCCACAAAGCTTTACTGAGCTGTGTACGGCCAAAGTAGTTAAAACCCATGAAAATCATATCTTCATGCCCTAAAATGCTAGTAACCGCCAAGTGAGAAAAACAGACCACCAGGTACGTAACTATGATCTTAAAAGCATACAGTGCTTACGAGGAAAAAATTGGGTCTCAAAGGATACATTTACAAAGAGAGAGAAAAAACGCCAGACTACTCCAATGTAGTTCATTTACTGAGCCATACAACGTGCAAAGCAGTGGGTATAGGTGTGGTGAGGGGTTTTAACATGAGCAAGACCAGGCTGGATGCGGTGGTGCACGCCTGTAGTTTCAACACTTTGAGAGGCCAAGGTGGGAGGATCACTTGAGCCCAGGAGTTTGAGGCCAGCCTGGGCAATGTAGCAAGACACAAAAAAATTAGCCAGGGGTGGCAGTGCACATCTGTGGTCACAGCTACTGGAGAGCCTGAGCTGAGTAAATCACGTGAGCCCAGGGACCTGAGTAAATCACGTGAGCCCAGGGACCTGAGTAAATCACGTGAGCCCAAGGAACCGAGTAAATCACGTGAGCCCAGGGAACTGAGGCTGCCGTGAGTCATCATCACACCACTGCACTCCCGCCGGGGCAACAGAGCGAGACCCTGTCTCCAAAAACAAAAATGATAAGAATGAGCAAGACAGTCTAATCTGGAAAGTCAAAGAACATTCCTTGAGCTTTCAAGCAATCAGACATTATGTGCAACTTTCAAAAACATTCAGGGAGAGAAAAATCATTATCAAGTTGCAAAATCAATCATTTCCATAAAGCTTTTCCAAGTTTTCCAAGTTTTCAAAGTTGAGGGCAGCTCTCAAACACCCAATTTTAAACATGTTGCAAGATGGTTCCCCCCTCCGACTCTCAGCATGGGAAACAATTAAAAGGCTCCTAGTTACCAAAAAATGAGAGACAAACCACAGCAGCATTTTCGTTTTGTTGTGTGTGTGGGGGGGGGGTGTTGGTGTGTGGGGGTGTGTCTGAGTGTGTGCAGGGGTGTGTGTGTTTTACACTGTCAGCTATCCAGGCATATTGTGTGTGTGTTTGGTAAGGTTGTGAGTTGGTATGTGGGGGTGTGGGGGGGATTTACATTCTCAGCTATCCAGACACATTGTGTGTATGGTGTGGGTGTGGGTGTGGGGGTGTGTGTGTGTGTGTGTGTGTGTTTTAAACTCTCAGCTATCCAGACACACTGGATGTTTCTAGAAGCACCAGGGTCTGACTTGGCCCCGAGGATGCACACCATTTTGATTTCCTGGAAGTTAAGCACAAAACAAGTTTTCATCTCCCTTCATTGCAGCCTCAAAGGTAGTCGAGAAAATATCTATTAATTTAGCCCATTTCCCCACTTCCACTATTTCCCACAGCCCTTTCTAGTCACAAACCAACCAAATAGGACAGCCTATTTTTCTAATTCCTTCTGTCTCTTTCATATTCTGCCTCCTCCTTGTGATCGAATCGACACCTCCTGTGAACTCCCAGCCAGACTGCGAAAGCGCCTGTCATTTTCTTTCTGCCTAAAATAGCTACAAGAGCAAAAGCAGTCAGCCCTTGCAGCTGCCCTCAACTCTACTGAAGTTTTCAGGATCACAATCAAGCACCCATTTGTATGACCTCCTAGCACAAATAATTTCTGCAGAAAATTAAAACATATGGAGGGCTTTTAAAATCTAAATTTAGATTTAATTAGTAGTAAATATCTGATAATGTAACTGCTCACTGCTTATTTACCAGGCTGATAGGTTTCGATGCTGTGTAGGTTTAAGAAGGATGGAAATTACACTAAGAAATCGAAAACTAAGCACAAAATACATGTTCACCTTCTTGAAACAAGATGAGCTCACCAAACACGACTGTTCTCTCTCAAGGTCTTAAAAAGCACCTCTGGTTTACAAAATAACATGGAATTATGAAGACTGTAAGTTTTCCAAGCGAAAAAGCAACTGCAATTAAATTTGGACTCATAAGAAACAATAGTGTGAATTTTTTTAAAAAACCAGAATTTAAAAAGTGGCTTTTTGACTATGTTCAGACTATGTTCTGACTGTGTTCAGATACACAGCCAACCCTTCTTATCCATGAACTCCACATCTACGGGTTCAAACAACCTCAGATGAAAAATAGTTGAAGAAAAACAATAAAAAATAACAAATGACAATTAAAATACAGAATAACAACTCTTCACATGGCATTTACACCGCATTAGGCTTTAGAAGTAATCTACAGAGGAGGGCAGCGGCCACGCTGGTGGGTGTTGAGTGTGTTTGCTGGTTGAGGGGCCCCAGGGCACTGGGTTGGCACAGTGGCGGCTGAACCCAGAAGGTGGAGGGGATTTGCCCCCATGCAGAGGTGTGTCTTCAGCCTTCAGACGGCACCCACGGCTCCCGGCCCTGCTTTCCCCATGGAGTTGAATGGCCACGGCTGTGCTGTGGTTCCCGGTTCAGCGGGGCACTGCAACCTTTGAAGGCATGGCTATGAACTTTTCCCAGGAGAAATGGAGTCTCCAAGGTGAGGTTCAGAGAAGCCTGTACCGTGATGTGATGCTGGAGAACCTGGCACTTTTTTTTTTTTTTTTTTTTTTTTTTTTTTTGAGACGGAGTTTCGCTCTTGTTGCCCAGGCTGGAGTGCAATGGCGCGATCTCGGCTCACTGCAACCTCCGCCTCCTGGGTTCAGGCAATTCTCCTGCCTCAGCCTCCTGAGTAGCTGGGATTACAGGCACGCGTCACCATGCCCAGCTGATTTTTTGTATTTTTAGTAGAGACGGGGTTTCACTATGTTGACCAGGATGGTCTCGATCTCTTGACCTCGTGATCCACCCACCTCGGCCTCCCAAAGTGCTGGGATTACAGGCATGAGCCACCGCGCCCGGCGAACCTGGCACTTTTCTCTTCCCTGGGTTGTTGGTGTGGAGTGAAAGATGGCAGGGCGCCATTTCAGCAGAGCATTTCTACACAAACAGTCTCGGCTCAGGGCTCTGAGGGCAGGTGTGTCTCCCAAGAAGGCTCATCCCTGTGAAATGTACAGCCCCATCTTGGGGGACATTTTTCCCTTGGCACAGCACCAGTCTCTGCATAGGCAGCAACTGAACAGGAGTGGGGCATATGGGAAAAAGCTGGATGACCCTGAAAACCTTCATCGGCACCAGAAGGAGCACGTTGGAGAGAAACTCTACAGAGGGGTGCCAGAGAAGCGTCGTTTATAAAGAGCTGTAAGGTCCATGTGTCACAGGAGCCATTTAGCTCTTATGAGATCAGGAAGAACTTTTTGCACAGCTTGGGATTACACCAGTAAGAAGCTACTCACACGGTAGAGAAGACCAACACTGAAACTAAGCATGCCCCCCCCCCCCCCTTTCATGCAGGAAAGACTCATTACAGCTGTAAAGAATCCATAACAACTTCCTTCCTTCTTTCTTTCTTTATTTAGAGACGGAGTCTCACTCTTCGCCAGGCCGGAGTGCAGTGGTGCGATCTCAGTTCACTGCAACCTCCACCTCCCAGGTTCAAGCGATTCTCCTGCCTCAGCCTCCTGAATAGCTGGGACTACAGGCGTGTACTACGTCACCCGGCTAATTTTTGTATTTTTAGTAGAGAAGGGGTTTCACTATGTTGGCCAGGATGGTCTCAATCTCTTGACCTCGTGATCCACCCGCCTCGGCCTTCCAATGCAGGGATCACAGGCCTGAGCCACCACGCCCGGCCCACAAAACCTTTTGACACCCCTCACTCGCCTGTTCCACCAGAAGCTTTTCACTGGAGAAGGATGTTACTTGTGCACTGAATGTGGGAAATCCTTCAGCAAACGTAATACCTTCAGTAATCATCAATGAGTTCACACTGGAAAAAGACCTTACGCGCGGGGAGAAGGTGGGAAACGTTTTAGACAAAAGGGCAACTTATTCAACACCAAGGAGGCCACACTGGAGAATGGCCTGACATCTTTTAGGTGCGGGTCCCACCTCACTGATCACAATAGACTTCACACTGGAGAAAGACCTGACGGTTGTAGGGAATGCAGAAAATTATTTTACAAGAAGTCTCACTTCCTTGCACACGAAAGAGTTCACACTGGAGAAGGGCCATATGAGTGTGGGGCATGTGGGAAATTATTTTGCTAGGAGGAGTGTGTTACTGTGCATCAGAGGGTTCACACTGGAGAAAGGTCACATGAATGCAAGGAATGTGGGAAATCATTTTCTTACAGCTCTGCACTTCGTGTTCATACAAGAGTTCACACCGGATAAACACCTTATGAGAGCAATGAATGTGGGAAATCCTTGGCTGAAAGCACCTGTCTCAAGAAACGATGAATGTTCATCCTGGATAAAGGCCTTATGAGTGCAAGGAATGTGCTCAAACGTTTAGCTGAAGGCATTCTCTCTTCCTGCATTGGGGACCTCACAGTAGAGAAAGGCCTGATGAGTGCAGTGAATGTGGAAAGTCCTTTGCTATGAGCTCCTGTCTCATTCGACACAGGAGTTCACCCTGGAGAAAGGCTTTAAGAGTGAAGAAATGTGGAAAGATATTTACCCAAAGCATTGCACTGTTACAAAGTCAGAGGGTTCTCCTACAGAAAGTCCCTTTCAGGGAAATATGTTTTAGAAATTCCTTGGCCCCCTCCCAAAAAAGTAATCTAGAGATGATTTCGAGCATATGGGAGGATGTACGTAGGTTATGTGCCAATACTATGCCATTTTTATAAGGAACTTGAATATCCATGGATTTTGGTATCTGAACTGGCCCCTAGAACCAAGGGACAAGTCAATATAAATTTTGCCCCTTTCCTCTGTAAGTCAGGAGTCTCAACATCGACTCTATTGACATTTTAGGTCAGGTAATTGGGTGGTTGTGGGGGTGGAGGGTCCTGTGTGTTTCAGGCTATTTAGCAGTATCCATGGCCTCTACCACTAGAGGTCAAGTAGCAGACGTCTTCAGACACTGTCGAATGCCCTGGGTTTGACCATCACTGCACTAAGTGCTTTCTTACAATAGATGACTCTTCTGGTACAGGCACACAGCCAGTGAGGGCTTTCAGCTCAGGCTTCCCCACACTGGAAGTGTCAGCCTCATTCAGGATCTTTCAAGCAGTCATAGACCCCTCTCCTCCCCACTGCTCATTTCCGTCTACCCCAAACATCTTCTCCCATTCTCATACAGGTTCCTTCAAGAGACTGATGAACCTTACAAACCATTTAAGGGCCAGAAGGAAACTCCAGTTGAGTGTTCAAAAAGAAAGGTAAGATACTAAACTAACCCTTGGCTCTCAGATAGAATCTCTCACCTTTCCTCTGGCGTGTTTTCAAGTCACCGATTCCAATGACCGTCTTCCTAGCATCATGGCAAAGCAACAGTAGCAAGTCAAGAGACCCAAAGCAATAGCCTCACGCAAACCATGTAACCTCCCGGAGGCTGCACACCCAGGAGAGAAAATGAAGCTGAACCAGGTGATCTCAGAGGTTATTTCCATCTCTCCAACCTACAATCTCTGTGAACCCTACAAAAGGTCACAGCTATTTTTCCACATAAAAGAGGGTACGGTAAAACACACACACAGTTTTTCCATATGTACCATGACAGAAGTCATGGTCACCTTTTGCGATGTCCACAATACGACGTAACAGAGAGATCAACTGGGTTTGGAGTCTTGCCAATGCCAGTAACTCTCTGTGTAGCCTCACACACGTTGTGGAGCATACATACCGTCACCTATAAAAATGGGGGTCGGCAGGTGCATGTCAGATAAAAAACTATGGTTCTTTCCAGCTCTGTCAACCTGGAACCCACATGCATTTAAAGTTCGTGTTGTTAACTGAAACAATAGTGATCACTTTTATTTATATTGTTCCAAACTCTGGGTCCAGGCACAAGGAGCTATCTGCAAGGCTGTCTTAATACATTTTTCTACTAATAGGCTATCCAATATGATAGCCTCCAGTCATACATAGCTACTGGGCACATTTAACGTAGCCAGTCCCACTGGAAATGCATGCAGTATGCATAAACTGCACTTGGGGCTGGGCGTGGTGGCTCACACCTGTAATTCCAGCACTTTGGGAGACCAAGGCCGGTGGATCATCTAAGGTCAGCAGTTTGAGACCAGCCTGGCCAATGTGGTGAAACCCTGTCTGTACTAAAAATACAAAAATTAGCCAGGCATAGTGGCAGGTACCTCAGCTACTTGGGAGACTGAGGCAGGAGAATCGCCTGAACCCCGGAGGTGAAGGTTGCAGTGAGCCAAGATGGTACCACTGCACTCCAGCCTAGGCAACAAAAGCGAAACTCCGTCTCAAAAAAAAAGAAAAGCACATGGAGTTTCAAAGACTTAATAATATATATATATATATATATATATATATATAATATTACAATTTGTAATCTTGATCACATGATGAAATTATAACATTTTAGATATGAGTTAAATAAAATATATTAAAAATAATTTTATCTGTTTCTTTTAATGTGACTAGTGGGACATTTTTAATTCCATAGGTGGCTTACATTATATTTCTGTTGGACCATGCTGACATCATCTACCTTCCCCTGCCTTCTGCATAATGCCGTACTTAGTACCAAGTAAGCTTTTAAAGAAACCCCGTCTAGGTCCTGTATTACGTCATGGATGGAAAACAGGCTTCTTCAAGTCCTGTATACAAAGAGCTTGTATCTGAATTGCAGAAAACTGTCACCCTAAAGCAGCAATCCCCAGTCTTTTTGGCCCCAGTGACCGGTTTCATGGAAGACAATTAAGGAGCCTGCAACCTAGATCCCTCGCAGACAGGTGCAGTTCACAACAGGGTTCAGACTCCCATGAGAATCTAATGCTATAGCTGATCTGACACGAGGCGGAGCTCAGGCGCACTGCCTGCTCACCACTCACTTCCTGCTGTGCCGCCCAGTTCCCAACAGGCCATGGGCCGGGATAGCTCCACCGCCTGGGGGCTGGGAATCCCTACCCTAAGGCATGCATATGTCAGCGGGTCTGTTACACACAAGACCTTTCCAGAACTATAACTCAGGTGATTCTTCTTGTGGGGTATGTCTGCCAAGCATTTTCCCTCTCCGGGTCTTATTTTGAGACATGCCAAGAGCAACATGAGTACTCAAGTGTAGCACAATTAAGAGCAGCGTGGTGGTTTGAGGCCTGTCGTCCCAGCTACTTGAGAGGCCAGGGCGAGAGGATTGCTTGAGGCCAGGAGTTTGGGACCAGTCTGAGCAACATAGTGAGACCCCTATGTGGAAAGAGGAAGGGAGGAAGGAAAAGGGAAAAGGGAAGGGAAGGAGGGAAGGAGGGAAGGAGGGAAGGAGGGAAGGAGGGAAGGAGGGACGGAGGGGAGGGGAGGGAAGGGGAGGGGAGGGGTTCATGCCTGTAATCCCAGCACTTTGGGAGGCGGATCACAAGGTCAAAGCAGGCAGATCACAATGTCAAGAGATGGCGACCATCCTGGCCAACATGGGGAAACCCTGTCTCTACAAAAAATACAAAAATTAGCCTTCACAACGTCAAGGCAGGCAGATCACAAGGTCAGGAGATGGAGACCATCCTGGCCAACATGGTGAAACCCCGTCTCTACTAAAAATACAAAAACTAGCTCAGCGTGCTGGCCATGTGCCTGCAGTCCCAGCAACTCAGAAGGCTGAGGCAGGAGAATCACTTGAACCTGGGAGGCAGAAGTTGCAGTGAGCTGAGATTGCGTCACTGTTCCTCAGCCTGGGTGACAGAGCAATACTCCATCTCCAAAAAAAAAAAAAAAAAAAAAAAAAGAAATGTAAAAGGGCAGGAAGTTTTGGGGCAAAAAATGGTCTTAGCGCTGGTCCCACTTCTCACATTAACTTGAATCACATTGATGATGTGGCCTAGTTGTTGTGCATTCTCTTGTATAAGCCACAGATGTCTCTAAAATGGAACGTCTTCCCACCTCCTCCGCTGTCCTTTCCATGTTGGGATCTCAATATTATTTCAAGTCAGTAAATGAGCATGGTGGTGGTTCATAACAAGGAAGTCACATTTCACTTCAATATCTCTGATCACACCCAAACACAACCAAAAACCTTCTCTGGGAGAACAGAGAGAAACTACTTATGGTAATTCCTGGCAAGCAGTTGGGCCCAGCACAAACAGGAACCTGGCCCTGGCATGATGGGCCACCAAACATGGCAGGCGTTCCCACCCCTCCTGGGCAGACCAATAAGAACATAAGCCTGTGGGCTCCACCCCTCCTGGGCAGGCCAATAAGAATGTAAGCCTGTGGGCTCCACCCCTCCTGGGCAGGCCAATAAGAACATAAGCCTGTGGGCTCCACCCCTCCTGGGCAGCCCAATAAGAATGTAAGCCTGTGGGCTCCACCCCTCCTGGGCAGGCTAATAAGAAGGTAAGCCTGTGGGCTGCCAACTAAGGCTAAACACTCAACCCAAAGAGTGTTTCCTTTTCCATTCTCAAAACCACCCTCTCTCACGGAAAGCAA